TTTCTGTTACGAGCAAAGAATCATTGGAAAGTGAAGGGTGCTCTTCTCAATCCCGAGATGGTGCATCCAAAGTACGGCTCTAGCATCGGTGAGTTTCCTCACAAAGAATATAATCCTTACAATTCAGCCTGGGTGAGCCAGGAACCCCGGACAACTCTTGCAAAATCTAAATAGGCCCCTGCTTTTGGCACGTTCTTGTGTCGGATGTGATGTGGGAAATGTCTAACCCCCCGGTAGCAATGTTCCAACTGATGAGCGACACCGGTCATGCATGTCCTCGGACGCTTACTGGTTGTTTCTTGATGCTTTTCGCACCAGGGAAGATGCAGGCAAAGACAAGCTTGCACTGGAGCAGGACGCTGCACGTGTCTACTTTTCAGGGCCGCATATGGCAGACAATTCCAATGGAACTTATCCGCAGTGGCACGTGGAATCCACCATGAGTCGAGTGCAAAAAAACAAGCGGGTGCATAAGCAGACTTGACCTTGGCACATGTGACACTATGTTTTGTCATACAATACCAGCGCCAAACCTGGTGGACACTTACCCCCAGGTAAGTGACACTAGAGGATCCCGAATTCACCGCTCATTTGGACTCCCAGAATCCAAGCTGTGTCACTTGGAGGACTCAAAGGGAGCTCGAGAAAAAGCATACCCCGTCAAACATGGAATCCGCCAGAAGTTTGTGGGAAAAAGATGGTCCTAACCCAGAACCCCCAATCAGCTTCCATGGCAGCATAGGCATTGTACCTACTTGTTTGCCTATCAGCTGGAGGTAAGCAAGCTCCCTATGAAGGTTACTTGGCGCTACCTGGTGTCAGTTTTTGGATATAGAATGACGGAACGCGACTATTGCGGTCGATAGGTTGGGGGGGATCCTTCCAGGAAATACCGTTGGCCCAGGACACATGGTAGCCCCGCTTTCTGTTTTGTCCAAGCTGGTTTGCAGATCTCAGTTGGCAGGAGGGGTCTCCCAGCATGCGAGATGCCGGCTCTCCCAGCCTGCGAGATGCTGGACAGGGAGAAGAGGAGCGTAACACATGAGCCATGCTTGATTTGTTGGTGGAGACCTCTCTAAGTAAAGGAACAAAGGCGAGTTGTTGTGTAAATGGGATTCCAAATTTGGCACACATCCAGCTGGGCACAGATTTGGGATGCTTCAATGGTGCAACTATGGAACTTTGCTGCAAAGGCCACCCCTGCTCTTTGGGTGTTGTTGACCTTTTGGCCTCAAAACAAGGGACCACAAATGGTTGATTTCACAAGGGTTTGCTTAAAAGCGGACTCAATAGGGTCCCCAGTCTTGAATGACACCTTGCTAAATAAGGATTTCTTTGGACGTTGAAAGACAGAAGGAAAATCGAACAGTTTCTCCCCCCCTCCCAGGTTGCCATGGGGATCAGGCTGATGGGTTTGTCTCAAACTGGGAGAACCCACCGAATGATCTGCCTGTCCCTTCCAAACAACCCTAAACTGGTAGACTTAAAGAGCCGCATTCATGGCCAGTTTGAGGGGAATACCAAAGGCCAGGGCAGAGTGCTTGCCTGAGTTGGTTGCGGTGAATGAAAGCATACATGGAGCTCGAGACACGGATCCCTTGGAAGCTGAGACATGTGCTTATCACGTGGGAGGCCTGGATGTCTTGTCGGGAAGGGTAACGCCAGTTCAGTGGGCTCCTTCCTGTCCTTTCTTGCCAAGACTGCTAAGCTCTGTGGCCCAACAAGGTAAAACTATGGAGGCCAGAAAAGGACGGGTCTGGAAAAACGGAGTGCCCCTTGCCGTGGGCCACGGGCTTGGTCCTGGGCTTCTGAGTCGCAGCCTTTCCGTGTTTGAGAGGAGCTGGCCCTTCCAGAGGATCCCGAGCCGCCCGAGAGGCACATGTGTGGTTCTACAAAGGGAAACTAACAAGGGGAACCGCCCTGAGCGGCACGGATCTCTGGTCGATTTTTTGCGGTGTACCCCAAAAGTGTGGTGTTGTCTTTTTTGACAGAGCTCTAAAAGGAAACCACCCCTAGGGATGCCCCGATTCGAGACAAGCCCACACAAGTTGCCGTGGTACGTTTTTTCTTTGAGTTTGTTCACCTGGGTTTATAGGGAAGCCCACGCCATTGTCTGGGTCCCAATAATAGGGGCACATAAATGATGGCTAGCCCGCGTAAACATGGTTTTGTTTATCTTTCTTTCAGTGTCCAAGGCAGCCTCTTGTGAATTGGGTGTTCATCGCGCTCAAACGCGACGCCTTTGTTCCCCTTGCTGTAAGTGGGAGTGTCTTTTTTAGGGGACCAGGATAATGGTGATGTTCATTTGGTTTTCCCCTGGGCTTCCCTTTAAAGCCCTCCTAAAACGAGTACCCCCAACAAAGACACACCCAAGTGGTTCTCAACCAGGGATGGCCAAAGGTGTCGCACAGCTGACTTGTGATCAGCTTCCGGATGTGATGTTCCCCAAGCTGCCACCAGTGACAAACACTTGAGGAGTTTGCACTTCGATGTATTCCAGTGAATGTGGTTGATTCGATTAGTCGACGAAACTTAGCAGGGCTTCTTTGACTGGTGGACCACCAAACACCGACAAAAGTAGGTGGATTGAATGCCTCAATCCTTTTCAACCCCCAGGACCCCCGGCAAAAAGCGCTGGCATATTTTGGCAGGTGTTCAATGAAGGTCGGCTTTTCCAATCCGCAAAGCGGGCGAGTTCTCTAAGGGGTCACTTCAGTCAAATCACAGGTTGCTGTCCTAGGGAAGGGCCTGTTGATTCCCTGACCCGCAACAAGAGGCCCCATGGTGGAGGTTTCAATCAAAATGTGAAATTCGGACCAACCATTTTGGTTGGAAGTTAGGGAAACCAAACGGGAAGCCACGGATTTGTTTAAACAACTCTCGTTGTTGGCACGGTGATTGGTTGCGGAGGCCGGCAGAGGCGCCTACACCGCCCGGTGCGATTCAGGCTGCCGAAGCGACTTCCGAATCCCCGACTGCCCACGAAAAAGCACCTTGAAAGGCCATTGAGGTAAAAGTGCCACCAAAATCTGTGTTTTATGGGGTTGGTCCTGAAGTGTCCAAGGCTGCCATAATCTTTACGAAACTTTGCCCGCAGAGACCAAAGTACCAAAGTAGCCTCCAAAAATGTTCATTGCCAAGCGATTCCCCGCGTCAGAATATCCGTAGCTCAGCTTCAGGAGTTCAGCCCGAAGGAAAAGATGTCCTGTTCCTTGCTATTGGAAAGTCACAGGTACCTTCAAGATGAGATGATTTGCGTGTGTGTTTCTGATGCTTTAGGTTGGCTTAAGTGGTGAGGTCCCCTATTTTGGACGGTTTAAGCTGTACAGGTTCCTTTGTTGCGTAGGAAAGAAGAGAATCCTGTGCAAAGTTGGCATCCACGTGCCTTTTTCCAGGTGTTTGTTTCCACAGACGCCTTTCATTGAGGCCTTTCATTGAGGCAGCCCGAACGATCAGCCGGCATGCCGAATGTCAATATGTAAACCGCCGATAGATTAGTAGGGGCGTTCCGTTGACGGGATCGTTCACTATGGGAACGGCCTCCCTAAAAATCAGGCTTGATTAATCCGCATGTGTGCAAGGAGGCCCTCAGTGCTACGTCCAAAACCCCAAACGGGCACCCGGTCAAAACCATGCTAAGCAGATGTCCCATGTGCTGCAGGTGTTTGCTCCCTGTTGGACGATAGAACATGATGGAAAGAGTCGGTGAATTCCCCTCATCAGCCTCAGTCTAGGCGTCTAGGATATGAAAAGGGCTCTTGCCGAAAGGGATGTCGAAGGTTCTTGAAAATGTGATTTACATTTTGTTTGAGGATTGCACCATGCAAGCAAAGTTTCCTCCGGCCAGAATCCTGGCTGTGTCCAGATACCCTGGGCCGGCGACAGTTTTCAAGGAAAGGTTTGTGAGCATGCCTGGATATCAGCACCTTTCACCAGCCACTTTGTAGGCTGGCATAGGTTCGTAGACGACAATGCACACTCAGCCTGTATTGGTGTTCGAACGAAGCACACCAGGACGGGCATTGACGAGTCAGACAGTTGATGAGCCACCTGAATTCACCGAGCATGCGAGCAGCGGCTTGTGCTAGGACAGCTTGGCACAGACGCTCCGACGGTTTGGATGCAGTACTCTTTCAAGATGCATCCAGCGGTGCCAAACCGTCAGCACTGACATGGTTGACAAAGCCAGGCTTCTTGGGGCACCCCAAAAAGCCAAGAAAGAACACGTCACAGTGTGCCACCCAAACAGGTCCCCAAGAAAGGGCAACCTGAACCCCCGCTTGAGATATCACGCGATGCGTGCTCCACTGATTGCTGCACTTTTGGCGGCTGCCAAGCAACACGCCAAGGAGTGCACATCAGGCCAGGATGGGCTTCGAGTATCTTCCTGCCCGTGGCCAACAACAGAAATACTCAATCGACAACTGTATATATGAAATATATATATATATATATGTTGATACATACTATTCTATGAGTGTGCTTTCAACAACTAGCATTCCTACAAGCACTGGTTGCTTGTTGGTTGGTCGGTCCATCGAATGACTCGACTGCCATTGGAAAATGAATCGCTGCGGTCGGTCAGGTTTATGCCTCGATGCCAGCGTGCCCGCATGCTTGCAGAACACTGATGTGGGTGTCTCTTTTTGTTCAGGAGCTCTCTTGGGGTGATCTAAAAGGAGAATCGAAGTCATTTGGGCTTAAATGCTGTAACTGTAAGTATCCAACGACCTGCTCAAGTGTTGTCACCCCCTCCACGATTTCACAACACAAGCACAAAAGACGTTGCACAATGGTCATGGAGCCACACAGATGGGAATAGCAAACAAGCACCATGATCCCGAGCTCATTGCTCAAGGTATTGTCTTGAGCAATAAGGCACTACCTGCACACCACCGAAATTTACTACGACTGGATAATTACCATACACCTACTGGTAGGTCCACCAAAGTAACATACTCAAAATGACTCGATACATGGCGGTTTACAGAGGTTTCCCACCCCGGCAAGTAATTCCAAGAACCTCGGCTGTTCCGCGATGCAAGTATGCCTGACCCATCGACCGCAAGGAGGCGCAGAGGGAGGGATTGCATCCATCAGAGGGATCTCTGTTTCAGAGCCAAGCAAAGACATGGAAACCTAATGGTGATTATCAAGGGCCATATCCCTGCTATGGCTCCCCTTGCTATGACTCTGAATCAGTATACCTTCCCTCCCCGCACAGTAGCTGACCGACAAGCCCCTTCTAGAAATCGATCGTCCAGACACCCTCCGCCGTACAAGAAGGGAGAGAGACTCATTATTGGTTACTCTCGAAAGTAACAAGGAAGCGGACAATTTGGAGGGTCTGTTTGGATAAACCTACAAATCAGCGCTTAACTTCGCCAACTCTACTAGCGGTTTCTGTCTTCGGCAAGCACTGGGGGTGTCTGTGTTGGATCGGCGCTCAGGTGCGCTCATATTGCCGTGGTGGGAGCTGGGTGGTGGTCGCAGGGATGGCACCTGCCACACCTCCGCCGTAACGTTGGTGTGGCGCTCAGCGAGCGTCGGACACAGTTTTGCAGCTTCTCTCTACTTGCCGGTTTGCATTTGAGGCTTGGAGGTCAGAGAGTGTGTTTGCCTCCTACAAGAACCAGAGGGCAACCTGATTTGTTCGAATCGCTCAAAAGTTCAAAGCACCCTGGGTTGAGAATCGAGATTCGCAGCGCTCTTGAATTTGAAGTTTGCATCCTCAGTTGTTTCTTGCCTCATAGTTTCTAAGTACCCAGAGAATAGGTTCAAGGCTCAGCCCAGTAATGCGTGGCATTCTTGAAGTGCTACAAAGTATCTTCCACCGCCCCCAAAGAGCTCTAAGCACGCAGACCCATGCTGCAAATATGTATATATATATATATATGTGTATAGAGGCTGGAACGCCATGGGGGCTGTGTTTTTGCAGGTAAAGTGCCGGGTGTATATAGTTTCAAGTATAGTTTTGTTGGGGAGGCTACAAACAAAAAAACAAGCCCGTCATCTTCATCTGCTCGTTCGAGACCTGGGGTTGTTTGTTTGGTTTCTTTTGATGTGTTTGTTTTGGGTGCGTTGTGTTTGTGTGTGTGTTTTGTTTTCCGTTTCTTCTTTTTTTTAAGGGTTGGGGAGGCTAAAAACCCAAAAATGAAAGCAAACCAAGCCCATCATCTTCATCTGCTCGTGCGAGACCTGGGGTTGGTTAGAATTAGCATTTTAAATAGAATCATTCTAATTCAAGTTTGTTTAAACAAAGAAGTTGTGATTGGATTTATTCCTGATCAGTGATTGGGTTCACTCCTTATCAAAATATGTTAAAATTCTAGTTCAATGGTAAAGTTCTATTGGGAAAGGATCTCCGTCACGCCGTCTAGAGACTAAACGTGAGACTCAATTCGCAGTAGGATTCTGATCAAGTATTTCCTTGTTGAGCCCCACATAAGCCCTATTCAAATTCTAATTGAATTTTAAAGAGCGGCTGTTGGTGGAGATGTGAATTGAACAACGCTACAAAACAGCGTGTTGACCATGGTAGCGCTGGGGCTAGCAAACAACAAAGCACGATTTCGGGACCTCTGAATTCTGTCCTTATGACTTAATAGCTTTATCAAAGTCTACTCAATTTCTGACTGAAATTAAATAGACATTTCTAAGGAGAGACTGCAATCTTAATTTCTATGTTAAAGTTGAATTTGAATAAGGATTACTATACTTCAAAATGAATGCTATGCAGGAACATGTATTCAACAGTTTCGGGGCTGCTAATTTCATTCTTTATGAGTGCTACTGAATAGATTTACCAACTGCCTAATGTCTAACTCACGTTAAAGGGGATTTCATGAGGACCGAATCCAACCATGTTTAAATTTCGATTAGAATTTAATTAACGATCATTCATATCAAAATACATGCTACACAGGATGTCCTTTCCAATAGAATCAGCTTTGCGAATCCATAGCTATTTAAGCAACGTGCTTTTAACAATTTGGGGGCCTCTATAAGTTATTTCTTATGGCTTTCTGCTTTCATGTAACCACGATATCTGCATAATCTGAAAAGAACTTGAAACTATATACACAAGGCACTTTACCTGCAAAAACACAGCCCCCATGGCGTTCCAGCCTCTATGTATATGCAACCCCCCCCCCATGGACCCTGGTGTTAGCGCCTTTGGGGGATGATAAATCTAGAATAGAGATTTAATTGGGTCCCCAATGCCGGATGTTTTGTAGCCCGGAGTCCTCCGCAAAGTCCCAATATGATACCCTTTCCAAAAAGGATTTTACTTCGACTAGAATTGGAATTTGGAATATAGTTTAGTAAGGATATAGTTTGCCAATGTGTATGTGTGTGATGTTCAAATGCAACTTAAATTCACAAATCCTTTCCAAATAGGAGTTCCATGAAAATGTAAATACAGTTTTTGGTAAACTTCAACTAATCTTTAACAAAATAAATGAAATTAGATAGGAAGTTATTCCCCAAGTCAAATTTAAGTGTTAAAATAGTCTAATGCAAACACAATTCAACTAGCATTTGAAAATAGCAATTCAATAGAAACTAATTTTTTAAGGGACTTCAAACAGGAAATTCGAGATACGACCAGAATGTGGTATTTACATTCTGGCCCTTTTGTAGCATAAGAAAGATCCGAAGTCAAACTTGTTAGACTGTGTTTCAAAATGACATTTCAAGGGAAGAGAGGTTCAAACTCTAAAACTGCCTCGAAACAGGGATTCTAGCTAAATCAACTGTATTTAGAGTCTTATTTGGCAGGAAATTCATTCTATCTCAAAAGCGGAGATAGTAGATGAGCAGAGGTGGACTGGTAGTTCAGGGGGAGGTGACGGTGTGTGAACATAAAACACACACATACATACAAAGAGAAAGAACCCCTCACAATCCTGTGTCTCTTCCTAGAAAGGTGTAAAATGCAGTGTTTTCAGCATTACACCTACCTTTAACCTCTTAGAAAAGGGGATCAACATGAGCATAGCTTACATGAAGGAAACCGCTGACCAAAAGCACTTGAAAGTTTGTCTAATCAAGAAGTTGAAAGCGATTCCACCGGATTGCTAAGCACTTAAAAGTATTCTACCACTGGATGCAAGATTCAAGATTGTAGATTACACAGAAATCGTTCCTGAGAATCGTCAATCCTGGCCAAACCCAACAACATTCAAGTTCTTCTAACACTTGAAAGTGCTTTTCCGCTGGATTCAGGAGTCAAAATCGAAGCTTGCACAGACAGCAACTTACCTGAGAATCATCAATCCTGGCCAGCCCCGAAAAACTTTCAAGTTGGGCCAGCCCCGAGAACGTTCAAGTTGTTCTAAAACCTCGCTAGATTGAATATTCAAGATTAAAATCTTTTCCGAGAATCTTGTCTTCTCACTTTGAATTCACAAATTGCAGGAACTTGGAGAATGTCATGTGACTGCAGACGGGTGCGCATACTTGGTTGCAGGAGTATGTATTGAACACCTAGAGTACTGGGACAACCCTGGATTTGAACAAAACATATTGGATTAAAGATTCAAGATTCCCAAGAAGAATTTTCTCAGATTATTGAATCTTGAAAACCAAAATTAGTTTTATTTGATTTGAAAAGGTAAAGTTGTGCGAATACTCTGAGATGGATGCAGACTCAGTCAGAAGGCAGATGTTGATATCGTTGCTGGAAAAACAAAGCTCGAGCTCACCAAACCAGGGTCCATAGGGGTGTGCCATACATATATATATATATACGTATACATATCATGTGCATGTATGGGTATGTCTACACGCATGCTATGTGTATTTAGGCGTGCGTGTATGTGTATAAATGTACACGTATATATGTGCCACGTTTCGGGTTTAAAGAGGAGGCTTGTGTGTATATGACTACGCTAGTTTCGGCTTTAGCTTGAATCGTCGGGAGAAACTAGTTCACGGGAGTGTGCTCCTGTAGCTAGTCCAATGCCAAAGTGCTGAATTGGAGGGTGCAGCTCCAGAAGGTCAACGCCGAAGACGTTTCTTGGGTGGCTATTTCTTAGAGCTCCGGTCTCCCCGGCGAAAGAGTACTCCTGCGGAAGAAAGCCACACCAACTATGGCTTGTAAAGCCTCCCCTGGGAATGGGGGAGCGTGATTGGGGACCCTATTGATGCACCAAATTCTGAGAAGCCTCCATCTTCCACGGAGGAACCCCGTGACATGCGGCTGCGGATCTTGAATGCCCGCGACCGTGTCAGACGCCAACGCGAACGCAAGTCCTTCACCCGGTATTGTCGAACAACAAGCGGTCCTTGGGCAAAGTCATGCCCTCATCGTTTAGAAAATGTCAGAACATGTTGGCGTCTTTGTGAAGTGCTCCCCTGCTTTGGGTTGCACAGTAAGCGCCTTCAAACTGCCAACCCTGCGCTTTCCAATCCACTGCCCATGCTGCTTTCGTTCGCTGCTGGCTCTGCTTTGCTCCCTTGTTCAAGGATCAGGCCCTTCTTCCCCATTGCGCTTGGCAGCGGGGTCTGCGAAGTGGGGACATAGGCCCACGCTGGCCTACAGTTGGAGGGAAGGAGCAAAGCGTTGACGCAAGCCAATGTTCGGTTCGCAGCTTACGAGAGCTACTGCACCCATAGGACAACGTGTAAAGGAGTCTTACATATATACATATATATATATATATATACATATATATATATATATGTATGTATGATACACATCCAACTTGCAGACCCAAGCCTCCTGGGCTTCGCAGCACTCGCCTGGCGTTTCGAGGCGCGCAGATCACGGCCATCGTGGAGCCGTGCGAAGCTCCGCGCAGCGGCTCGGTTGGGGTTCCGGAGAGCGAAGGTGAGCCAAAACCGAGAATCACTCATGCCATGCGCGTTACCTCAAAATCAAGTAGAAAGGTTGCCTCACCCCCCTCCGCCTACCAAGGTAAGGATTCAGGGATGTTGCTTTTAAACTGTTTAGTGGTGCTCAGTTTTTCTTTGTTTGTTTGGTGTTGTGACGTGAATGCTGGGCGAACCACCGCCCTGGTTTACTTTTTTGGTTGGTGTACCTTCAGGTTCTGGGAAGGTTTGTTTTTTCCTGAGTCTTTGTTGTGCCGCAGATCCGCAGATCTGCACGTGAGACCGACCAGTTGGCAAGGTCCAATCTGCGAATGACTGTGTTGGCCAGGGGTTCCTGGAAGGAAGCACTTCACACAGTTGACTGCGCGCAACCGGACATGAAGGAAAACGTGTTTTTACAAGTTATGGCCATCGTGTTGCGAGCCAAGTGTCAGAGGGCTGGGAAGGATTTGGTGACAAACCCGCCATTGCTTTGAGTTTCGAAGGGCGCGAATTGCCAGTCGGACTTCGAACCCCTAATGAATTTGGGGTGAGAACTTGCCCAATCGTCCAGTACCAGCCCTTGCTCCTGTGTTGTTGGGTGTGTCAGTTCAAAAGAAAAGAAAAAACGACTGCCCGTGTCCCGTCTATCAAAAAGAGCAGCAAGTAAGCCACTCCCTGCTGGAGCACTCCAAGTGATAGCACCCAGAAAATCGACAAGTAATGGCACAATGCCTGCCCGCCAAAAATAAGAAGAACGGCAACCAGAGGGTGGCGCCCGGCGAGCCAGTCTCAGGTACACTAAATCCAGATCTCAAGACGATGAAAGAGCTGCAGGAATTATATCAAGTGCCGGTCTTCAAGACCTTCGCAACCCGGCCTGAGACAGTTTGTTCGTTGCACAGTTGGCCAGTAGCGAGTTAGCCAGTTGGTGGGGAATCGGAATGAGTCCTCCACGTGGGAGGGGCTTCTGGCATCCTTTTTGTTCGCCCTTTGGCAACCAGATGGGATTGCCAGACAGTTGACCCGTCAGCCGCCACAGTCAGCCGGCCCTTTGCCCGAGGACGAATTCCTGAACTCCTCCGAGGCAAAGTCCACGGATGGCATCATTATTGCTACGAGCCATGCATCTTGGGGGCATGTTGCACAGTGCAGTCGGGTGAAAGTAGATGGCCTGTGTCCGATTTTGGTGTCGCCAGCATCTTCGTTGTTCGTCATCGTCCTCCTTTTCATCGTCGTCGTCCGGGTCCTCGTCCTCACCATGTTTATTATCATTATTATCATAATTATCATCATCCTCATCCTCATCATCAGCATCATCATCATCATCATCATCATCATCATAATCATAATCATCATCATCGTCATGTTCATCTTCATCGTGCTCGTCCTCATCATCCTCATTGTTGTCGTCCTCATTGTCATCTTCATCATGTCCATCACTATCATCATCGTCATCATCATACTATCCACCATATCGACTGCGACATATCATGTCCTATGTACTTTCAATATGGTGCGACTCGCGTGAACCTTTCCTCCCATACAACATGTGTAGCACGGTCTGCAAGCCCGAGCAGTGAATTAAGGCATCGCATTGCGAGATCGGCATGAAGGCAGCTCAGCTATCGATTAGATCAACGTGTGTGCTCTCGTTGTCCAGCATTGCCCGACTAGCCTGTCTTTTGAGCTTTGCCTCCTTCGGTTTTCCTTCATTGTCCCTTTCGCTCAGAAGCAAGTTCACTTGTAGGGAGTCTAAGTCTGGCCAATGAAGCTCATAGGCGTGCATGCTGGGAGCCTGACGACATTCAATGCCTCACTTTTCGGCACTCCCCGCGGAGGGTTTTGCCCTTTGTCAGTTGTCCAAAGCCAAGAGGTTATGTTTTATTTCGGGGCTCCTTTGGGCTGATCATAGCAACAGACAAGCTTATTGGTACATTTGGGTCGCACATGCCCCGGTACCAAATTTCCAAAGGGGCCAAAAAGCGCGTCCCGCAATCTTGGTTCCACCAGAAAAGCTCCCTCAATCTTGCTGTGGATGGGCAGAATCCTGCACCTGGCACGTGGCTGGGATAAACCACCGGTGAGGGAGTTTGTCAATCCCTTCTATCAATGCTTTCCCGTGATGTGAGGCCATTGGGAAGTTCCACATCTTGATGGAGAAGCCGATGACCACCGATCCGCAGGAGGCGAGCCGTTTGCTGGAGGCCTCTCTGCACTCCGACCGGATTTTCCTGCTCCTCGGTGCGAGCCAAGCAGCTCGCTAGGGGTTCTGTTTGTTTCTGTTTGTCCCCATGTTTGGACCTTTCCTCTCTCGTTGTTCTCCATGTTTGTCCAGTTTGGATGTGTTTTCTTGTTTCGTGGTTGGCTTCTTTTCTAGGTGAACCCCACTTTGGGCTTGCAGAGTTTGGCTTTGGCCATCTTGGCTTGCCGTCTTGTACGGCCTTATTTTTCCTTCGAACTTCTTGTTTTGGCGTTCCAGTCTTGGTTGCGCTGACTTATTCCGCAGATTTCAGACCGCAGAAGTTCTCGGTTGTCCGCAAAGGAATCATATTCGGCCCTTTGTGAACAGAGACTTCCATCATGACAGAGAAAAATTCGGGAACCAAAAGTCGTCCTTTTTGCCGGAGCCTTTCGCAATTCAAGGTTGAACAACACAGCAAATTTCCGACCAGCGACCGCCAAAGTGCACGAGCTCATCCAGAAAGGCCCAGGCCTGAGTCGCGTGTCAGTTCCCGTTTTCAAAAGTGCATCAACTTTAATTGAAATCCATGTCTAACACCCAAACATCAAATTGGGAAAACAGGAAGAAAGCAACCTCTACGCTTCTTGCTTCCGTGTCGCTGTGATCTTTTGACCATTTCACCTTGGTCCCCCCCTTTTGCACTCACTTGCACTACAACCAAGTTGGCCGTTCACCTGTTGACTTGTTGAAGCATGACTGTCTCCCATGCACTAGCAAACATGTCACATCTTCACTTGGTGGTTCTTGGTAGTGTTGTGCATCGCTTGTTTGGTTGTCCTTGGTGGTTGCCGTTCGGTGTTCCTTTTGGTTCTGTTGAGGTTTTAACGTTTAACGTCCCTTTGGCTGAGATTCCTTTGTGCGCGATGTGTAAAGGTAAGGACAAATGGCGCTCAACTGTTTTGGCATAGAAATGCTCAAGATAAAGTACAAAAGGCTGAAAGGGAATGCCCGAGTGCCCTTCCTCCTTTTTCCCGGCCCTTGAGGTGGGGCCCTTTCTCCGGTTGTTATATTGTTCTTAGGCCGCGGGAATCGTTGCGCCCTGAAGGCTGCCGTCCGAACTCAACAAGCAATCATTGCAAAAGAAGAGATTATCTTGATCAATTTGGGGGGTGTCCAAAAGTCCCCTCAAAAACATGGTTTCCCCCTGGTTGTCCTGATCCAAAAGACGGTCCACAACTCCAACGATCAGAAACACTGTCAGCACGTGTGGCGGCTGCTTTGCAGATTGAAGCCGAGGTGAGATCGGCACGGTGAGATTTGCACAATGCTTCTTGGAGAACACACGTATCAGCTGACATTTTCGATTTGTGATGTCAGGTTTGCATTTTCACCCGGGTTTGTCGGTTTGTCTCCAAACGGATGCGTGGCTTTGCTTTGGTTACTCTGAAGCAACCCAAGGAAGGCGCGCGAATGGGGTTCTCGCCGAAGTCATCGACCCACTAAAAGTGGTTTGCTACTGTTGGACGGTTGGTGGACCTGAATCTCCATGAAAATGGTACCCACCCAAGTGTCCAACCAAATGAAGTTCATATCCTCACAAGGTGATTCCAATGGCCCGCATATGGCCATGCACGAAGAACCAGCTCCAGCAGTACATGATCAGCTGTCAAGCGTGGATCAAAAGTAGTCATCAACGTGCACTGTTTGAGCAGGGCGATCATGTTGAAGTCAAACAAGAACGCGTGGATTCCCTGGTTGTAGCCAAAAACTCATGGGATGACTGCCCTGCTTGGGACCATTGCTTGCATACTCAGAAGGTGTGACGCAGTGTACTCATCCGCAACTGGTGGGATTGCTTGCACAACGATTCACAAGATTCCGAGAGTTTCCGTCTGATTTCTCTCCCTCACATGAGGTTCGATCAAAACTTCCAGTAGTTTGCGGTCCATTTGGCAGGGCCATGCCCTTGACGAGCAACAAGTAGTTGTCCGTGGGTCATGGTTTAGCAGTGGTTTATGGTAGAGCACCAAAATGCTACTAGGAAGTAAGGGTTGGTTGCAAGCCCCAAGTTCCTGTGTCGCTATGACCTGTTAATGGTTGGAACAAGAATGATGGGTGGTCATAAAAGCCTGTGTGAACGTCGTCCATCAGAGGATCTCTCCAAATTTGTGTTTATGTCAGCTGGAGACAATGAATCTAGACCGCAAGCCTCAATGATCTCCTGGTTTCCCTTCACAACGGTCCGGTTTTCTACCCTTCCAGTGTCGAAGGGCAACACTGACGAACGCGGAACCCCAGGAATGTTGAGAGGAGTCTCCTCTTGGCAGGGGACTTCGAAGGGGTTCTAATAAACGGGTTCCAGCTCGCACAAAAGGACGGTCATGTGTAGCAACCTGAGATCCATTTGGCTGTGGGTCAAAAACAGGTATTTAAGATGGGTTGCCCTGGTAAGTGGCAACAACCAAAACCTGTGGTTTTTCTGGTTGAATTTGGACCACCCATTTGTCAGAGTCCATTCAAGTCGCTTCCTCGAGGGGCATGGCTATTTGAGCCTTCCTCGAGGCTACTTCGCAGCAGCGCTGCTTTGGCTCTTCGAGAATCCCGAGAACGTGGGCTGGGTGAAGCCCAGCGGAGTCATGCAAGGAGCTTCGGTTCTGTGTGGCTTCAGTCCAGGGACCTGTGGAACAATTCCAGGTTCCCTGTAACTCCCCCCCCTGTGATATTTTAACGTTTGCCCTCCTGCCCACTAACATGGAACCTGACTGAGGGGTACTGCTCAAGAACTATTGTCCTCAAAAAAAGCACCCTCTGAGAATTCCATGTTACATAATGTTAGTAGAAAGAGCGTAAGCGTCACCAAAGCCCTTGAGTTTGGTGGGTTTTCTTTTGGGTGAATGTTTAGCCACGAAAGAAACAGCTCTCACTCAATGTTCGCTCCGAGCCACCAAGAGTCTCAAAGACTTGACCCTGGACAAAACCTGCAGAATTTGTAGAATCTTCCTGCTTTCTGCTGGTGGTGTCCAGGTCCCCAAAAAATCAAGACCGTTTTCCAAGAACCTTCCTGGATTTCATGCTTGTAGGGTATCTCAGAATCTCCCCCAAAGAAACACAACGGGTTTTCCTACACCTGGCTAGGCAACGGCTTCGGCTGGGGCCAGATGTCCCACAGCCTGGCGTGGCTCCTCTTCGTTGCAGGCCTGGAGCCCAAGACTCTTGGCGCAGCGAAAGCGGGTCTGTTGAGGCACGCTTCGGGGTTTAGGCGTCCAACCTAGCTATATCAGGTTTAGTGATGTGTGAAAGAAAGGGAAATGTAGGGACGGCAAAAAGAAACAGAGGCTGGCCCTTGGACCACTTTCCTTTGTCCTCTTTCAGGTTCCATGTTTGTGGGAGGGCAAAAGAAATACTTGGGGGGGTTGTCTCTAAATGAAATGGACCCCCTGGTTGGTTTCTCCCTCAAAGCGCCGACCTGAACGTCATGGGCCCAAGAACAGACACACCATTGCAACGGGCCCTCGCAGTTTCTGCACTTTCCCGGTCCCTAGTAGGTCTCAATCAGGCTTCCACATGAACTTGCCCACTGGCCAAGGGAAAGAATGGATAGATGTTTTTGCAAACCCAGCCCTTGGGCAAGCGTCAAGTGTTCCGCAATATCGATTGGTTGTTGAAAGCAGACGCACAATTCCGCACCTGGCAAAACGACAGTGCAGCAACCACGCTGGCCACCAGCTTTTGTTGTGCGCCCAAACATTGTGTCTCATTTGGGATACTTTGAACAGGATGCAAAGCAACGGGGACATCCCGATCAAGGTCGGTATCAACCGATCCTTCAGACCCAGGAGTGTCTTCTGCAGCATGATGCACTCGGAGAAGACAGGGGCTGACATCTTCAACTCTGCTATCATCCACTGCACGAAGGGAGCGACTTGCCATCCATGGGAAGGCAGTTGTGGATTCACAACGGGGTAACCTATTTTGGAGGCCACCGTTCACTTTGTGGAAGAGCTCCCAACTTGTCCGGATTTGTCCGCCATCAAGATGATCCAGTTGTGCAGTGCATTGCAGCGTGAGATTCAGAATTCCGGCCACCAAAAGTGAACGATCAAAGGGTGCCCCCTGATCCAGATGGCCAGAACTCAGCCAAGCGATGCCTCCTGAATTGGCAGGAGGTTTTGTGCGACTGAGGAAGTCCTGAGCGTTCAGGGCACTGCTTCCTTGCCATTCTCGTCGCTTGGATATTGTGTCCATGCAGAAGCCGTTGATGCACATTGTGTCCTGATCAAGTAAGCCACTTTATCACGGCTCATGCTTGGTTGCAATGTTGTGGGAATCAACCGTTCCAACTATCACAGAGGCTCAAAAGCACTAGTGGGCAAGCCCTGCTTCCCTCTGCTTGCCTGACCTGCAATGGAGTCAAGGTCGTATTTCGAATCCACGAAGCACATAGATATGAGAATCTTCGGATCTGATGGTGTCATTACCTACAGTGGGCAGGACCGGCATCAGGGCTCGGCGAAATGGGCACAGCCGGCCATGTTTCCCGTTAAACCACCAAACAAAGGGTGCCCTCCTCAAAAATGGACAAGCCCGTGTTTCAATGACCATTGCTGCTGATGCTGTGAATAGCAGAGCCACCGCCAAAAGATGCAAGAAAGGTTGTCCGTTTCTTCATGGATTTGACCTGCCTCATTCATGAGCCATGTTTTGTTTGGCTTCGCTAAATCAGACCCTTTAGTTTACGCCACTTCAACTTGACAGAAGGAAGCCTAAAAAGGAGCCCTAGAGCAAACTTATTGGCAAAGGGATGCGTTTGGAGTTAGATATTAGTCTTCGAGAGAGCATTGTTAAAAGTCGCCCTTTTTTGCACCTATGAACGACTGGAATTGACAATAGTGAGTGCTCCGTTTAAGAAGCCTTGTATGCCACCGGTTTCTGTTCAAGTCCGAAACGGGTCCCCAGTTTCATATCCCTGTTTGCCAGAGTATCCATTACTCTGTCATTTCTGCACCTCGGTTTTTCTGCAAGGATCGCGCAGCTGGGCTTGCGCATTGTCTCGTTTAGATTAGTTTGGTTAGAACTAGGTTCCACTGATTCGGTTTGGCTTGCCCCATGTACCAGGGAAGCCCCTCGATTTCACCCTTTCGGACACGGGCCAAGGGCTGGTTTTTGCTTGGCAGGATCTGCACCCAGAGAGCGGCGGCCTGAAGCTGCAACGCCACAACGGCACGGAGCTGAATCTCCCAGGCCGGAAAGAGAAAACGTGCCGGAGGTCTCGATATACCCAAAACGGTCACCGGATGTTGGGCGTGGATTTGCGGTGGTACTGTTGGGTTCCTGTGTTATGTGTTTGTTCTCGTTTGTTTGTTGTTTGCTCGTGGTTGTTGTTTGGCCGAGCACCTCTTGTAAAGGCCAATGAGGAAAGGGGTTGGGCCGGCAGTTGGTTTTCATCGCTGCCTTTTTGCCGAAGGTGGGGTGATCTATAAGTCTATAAGGAAAGGAACACTTATCCTGTGGTCTGTTGAATAATTGTGGGTGTGTCTTTTTGTTGAGGGTACGCTATACAGGGTTGGTTTGCAGGGTATCCGAGACAAACCCGAACAACCAACTGACTGAGAAGATGAAGACAAACCTTCGTGGTATGCTTGCGAACGTGCTGTGCGCCTAGAAGGGCTTGCTGGGCAAGTAAAGTCAAGGGCCGAGTGGTGGAGCAGGGTGTATGGTTTGCGAGGAATCGCTGAGCAAGTTTTGACGTGGTCCCTGAGAAGATTCGTTAGACAGGGGCATAAACAGAAACAATGGTTGATGCCTCCAGACCTCAGTTGCTTTCACCCACTTAGCGGCGTGGTGATGAACCGTGATCACAAGGGTTTGTGGCGGGGTGTTGGAAGAAGAGCATGGTGGGTTGTTTGATTAATCCTTTCTCGCCAATGATGACCGACCAATAAAGCTGCTTTGTGTCCTTCTCGCCAATGAGCAACTCAGTTGGAATTGTTGAAGTCGGTGGCACTCTATCAGAGGGAAAATGGGCCCTCCCCAGTGCCAAGTTAGGAGTTGTTCGCAGTAAAGAGTGCAAAGCACGTCAAACCCTGGAACGAGAAACACCATGTGACTACTTGCGTTATGAGTTACAGCCCCTTTTGTGTTCGAAAACCCCAACCCACCCAGTGCGGGGTTGGCACTGTGGCAAGTATGACTCCATGCACCGCTGCAGCGTTGGCTGCCTCTCCAGGATCCCTCGCTGAAGTGTCCGCTTCCCACAGCCACCTACCTGTGTGTGCGCTTCACCTATCCTTCTTTATGCCGCTTACGCCCAGGCGCTTTTTTTTGTGTCAGGCTTTTACTTCGAGAACTACGAGGCAGAAGGAGACGGCCCCGAATCTTTGCACGCCTTCATCAAGGGTTGCCGCTTGGCGTCAGCAGTCCCCCTTCGCCCGGTGTCAGTTCACGCCCACGCTGGGCAGCAAACCTGGACCGGCCTGAGTATGTTGCATCTTTGCGCTTTTACGATGATGAGGATGAGGATTGAACCGAAACTACTTTAAGGTTGACGTCGCATCAATACTTGCTGACTGTTTGAGGGTGTCCCCATTTTAGAGGGAGTCTTGCCCGTTTGGAGGAAGCACCCCCTATTAATCCGCAAGGTCTTGACCCAGCGCGGACTAAGGCAATGGAGAGCCCTTCGTGAATGCTGCGGACGCTCGGATCGGCTGCGAGGCGGGAGGTATCCCAGTGGGCTCCACTTCTCTGGTCAGTACTCAGTTGAAGCCGAGCTGTCGGGTTTTCCGGTTTTGATCCATAGTCAAGGTCCCAAAAGTTAACCTTGTTTTTCCTTGGTCCTTTGGGCTGAGAGTATGCTTAGTTGAAACCGGCTTGCGAACCTCAAAACAATGACCAAGCCACAAGGGTGGAAAATTGACATTGTGTCTTGTCCCCTTTTGGGGACCAACCTTCTGCCGTGAAAAGGATCTTGCGAGCTGCGTTAATACAACCGAATAACACCAACATAGACCCCAGATAGCGAAAAGCCGCACCTGCACCACACTGCATGCCCCCCAGCCCTACCGTCAATCTCGCATAAAAGGCGCCTGCTGCCATCGCCAGCATCCAGCAGCACCCCGAGCAGCCCGCCAAACGGCACCCGCACCGCCACCAGCACACAAAAACAACACATGCCCCAGCACCCCAAGCACCCCAAACTGCATGCCCCTAACACCCAGCCATTTATCAATCTCGCAAATCACTTTGCCCTCTTTATTAGAAGTTGAGCCCCCGCTTTCCTTTTGTGGTCGATTGCAACAACACGCACACAAACACACACGGGGGAAAAAAAAAAAAAGTCCTGGAGTCGGGGCAACTAAGCACATGCGGGCCGATGACTGTGCCTCGCAGTACGTCGAAACCTGACTGAGGGCCCCTGAAGATCGATGGTCCAAACCAGGGAAGGTCCCTTGCATTTGGAAGTGTCCTTGAAGACCAACCTTTGGATAGTGTTTAAAGGAAAGCTACAGGAAAGTCACCCGTTTGTCGAGTCCCCTTATGATGCTCCTTCGAATCACCATCAGCAAAGGGTCTGCGTGAACAGGCACCCATTTGCGGTTGGAACATGTTGGGACTGTCCCCTACCCTCCAAGTTTCGATGGCTCATTCGCTTGGGAGCAGTTCTTTGGCAGCTTCCATCGTGGACCCGTTCAGGTCGTGGCAACTTTGGATGCCATGTACCGCAGCGCCAAGTCGGGCAAGCTTGAGCCGTTGGCACTTGCGACGAGAGCTTGACAAAAAGGCTTGCGCAAAACACGGGCTCCTGGAACACCGTAGGGAATATCTTCAAACCCCAAGGAAAATGCCTAATGATGTCTACACATGGGTTTGAACTTAATGTTCACAGGTTTGGTGGAACAGGACTGTTGACAGTAGATGTGCTAAAATGTCATGGGTGAATATCGTGAAGTATTCTTATGTTCACGGGAGATGCTTAAGTACTATGTTGGCCGTGTGTTTCTGGATTGGAAGGAATAGAAGGGATTTATGGAATTGTATGATTGATGAATCCATGTATGCTGGCGATACTGATTGACTTAAATTTAATATAAATCTTGACTTGATTGTATATTTCCCAAAATTATGTGGCTTTAAGTTGAAGATAGATATATATATATATATATATATATGGGTATTAAGATATTATATATAATATAAATATAAATTATTATTTATATTTAATAAATAATGTGTATGTATATATGTAGCAATGATACAAAAATGAAATATAATATAATTGAAATTGTTTTTAATATGTATATATATTGTTTGTAATAAATGATATTTGTTTTTTTCCCTAAATTTGAGATAAATTGTTTAGGAATGGTATGTTATAAATTATTGATATTTATATTATATATATATATATATTATTATGTATGTTAAATGATTTTGATGGTTATTTATTTATTGTTTAAATAGATGGAAAAATGTGTGGTTTAAGTTAATTAGATGTTGGGTTGATTTGGAATGGGATTGAGGCGGGATTTATGAGATTATAAATGAATAATGGGAATATTGGGATTTAATTATAAGCTTATAATATTTCCCCACCCGACAGGAAGGGGTTGTTAGATTTTATGTTGGAATCCGCACTTGTGATGCTGTTATAATACGCCCCCCTACCTAGTATTCCGCCTACTAGAGTAGTTCGTTAGTGGGTCTTGCCGAGTATGCCGTTAGAGTAACTCGTTAGTGAATCCTGTCGAATATCTCGTTAGAGCGGCTCGTTATTAAAAATCCCGCTGAGTATTTTGCTAGAGCGGCTCGTCCATGTATTCTGCCGAGTATTCCGTTAGAATTACTCGCCAGTGGATCCCGCCGAGTATCCCGCCAGAGCGGCTCGCTACTAAAAATCCCGCTGAGTATCCCGCTAGAGCGGCTCGCCAGCGGATCCCGCCGAGTATCCCGCTAGAATAGCTCGCCAGTGGATCCCGCCCATTGAGTATCTAGGGTAGCCCGTCAGCGGATCCCGCCGAGTATTTCGCTGAGTATTTTAGAGTAGTTCGTTAGTGGATCCCGTTGAGTATCCCTTGCCGGTGGGTCCTGCCGAGTATCCGGCTAGTATCGAGCCGGAGCGGTTCGCCAGTATTCGCCAGTGAAAACCCTGCTAGTATCGCCGGAGTAGCTCGTCAGTCTGGTTTTGCTTAATGTCCCGCTCGGCGCACAGTTTACATTTCATGTTGGTGCTTTCGTGTTTTGGATGTGCCCTGAGGTTGAAAGGGTGATGTTTTTGTGTTGCTTGGGCGAATAAGCAATTTTGTTTCATCCCCCGCCGGGTTTCTTTTTTGAAGGGGCTTGGCTTTTGTTAACGGAACCAATGTTTGAGTTATCGGCTCGCAGACAAGTGGAGTTTGACGCACAAACAGGTGGATAAGGCTCTCAATGCAAAGTTTGTTGAGCAATCATAGGGCCCAAGCCACTCGAAAACCATGCTTGAATTCACACAACCGTGATCACAGTCGCAAGCTCGTGAGTGTGGAGGGTGGGGATTGCTCGAAGCGAAGTAATTTTATAAATAATTTAACATTACTTTATTTGTATAGGTTTTGGAATCTTGTTAGGAATATATTTGAGAATTATAAGATTGGGTTATGTATTTCGAGATTGTTTGGATTAATTGGTTTTTTGTATTTTACAATTTTGAAATAATAGCATTTTTGAATTATATTGGAATTTGTTGAATTATATTAAATCATGTATATATTATGAATTTATAAATTATATAAATATTGGTTTTATATAAACATAGATATTTCTTATAAACCGGTACGGCCTCGAGATTGTATTTTTCGTGCACCAGCAAGCCGTTGCAGCGGTATTCCGGCCGAATCGTAGGCGATTTATTTTTTTTCGTCCGTGGCATAAATTCCCGCCTCTTCGCGCGGCCCGGAAGGCCCAATTTTTTCCCCGAAAAAAATATCGGGCCAAATTTCGGGCAAATTTCGGAACCTGTCCGAGTCGAAATTTCTCGAAAATTTCGTGCCGGGTGTCTTCGTATCTTTGCATCGGTGTGTGTGTGTGTGTATGTATTAGCGTTTGCGTCTAGTTGTATCTATCTATTTCGTAATCTATATTTTCCTCTGTTCATTTTTGTACATTTTTGGTGTATCTTAATCTGTTTCTTTGATGTTTATGCTTCTTTACCTCTATTTGTTTATTTGTATCTCTTTATCTCTCGGGTTGTCTTGGTTTATCTCGATTTGTCTCTCTTTCTCTTTTTTTCTCTTTCTTTTTTTTTTCTTTTTCTTTTTTTCTTTCTTTTTTTCTTTCTCTTTTTCTCTCTTTCTCTTTTTCTCTCTTTCTCTCTTTCTCTCTTTCTCTCTTTCTCTCTTTCTCTCTTTCTCTCTTTCTCTCTTTCTCTCTCTTTTTCTCTTTCTCTCTTTCTCTTTCTCTCTTTTGCTCTCTCTCTCTTTTTCATTTTCTCTTTTTCTCTTTTTCTATTTTCCTTCTCGTGTTTCCCCTTTTTTTAATTGTTTCTTTCCCTTTCTCTTTAGTTTGTTTTCTTTTTTTGTTTTCTTTCTTTCTGTTCTTTTTTTCTTTGTTTCTTTTTTTTCTCTTTCTCTTTCTTTTTTTTCTTTCCTCTTTAATTGTTTTGTTGGTATTATCGTTGATGGAAGTAATGGGTTCTTTTTAGTATATATATAAATATAATAATCTTTTATATATATTCTATAAAATGAAATTGTGAAATTTGCTCGTCGCATTTGGGTATTTTTTCGGATTGTGTTTTTTCCCGAAATATTCGAAAAATGGTCCGGGCTTTGAATGAAGTCGTTGTGTCTTTTAGATAAAGAGTCGGGGCGAATATTTGCTTGTTTATAGCCACTTTGGCTGAAATCTTGCGTTTATTTTCCGATGGCCGATTGTTGCGACTAGTGGCGTTTTTTGCTTGCACCCAAGATGTTTTTCGGTCGATCGCATTTCCAAATTTGTAACAATTGTATATTTTGATGGGTCTTTTGAGGCTAATAACCCGCGAATCCGTTTTCACCTTGTTCAGGCGATCGCCTTTCACTGACTCTTTGGCATGACTTTGTCGCGACCAGTCCGGCCCTCAGTGCATTTCGCGACCTGTGTTTGGAGAACGATACATTTTTCATATACAAAAAATTTACATATTCAAGATATATATATATATAATATGATAAAATATATTGGGCCTTGAGTTGCCAAAAATGTTTTGCCGGCGCGGGCTCTACAAGATTTGCTTTGTTCTTGATATATCCACCACGGCTTGGACCTTGGTCCTTGAGAACTTGATTTATGCGATGCTTTGGGAAGAGTGTATGAAGCTTCGTGAGATTGCGTTTTTGCGGACGTTCTGGTCTCGGTTTGTGGGTTGTTTTTGATGGGTTAGAATATGCTGGATTTCTTTCTCATAATTGATTTCCATTTTTAGCACCTGCCTCAACTTTCCTCAATTGTTGGTTTGGATTAGAGATTTGGGGATTGAATCCTTGGATTATGAAGAAGTTAAATAGGAAATCACCCCCCTAACCTCCAAAATATCGATCTAAATTATTAATCCAAACTAATATTGGGGCAAGCTGATACTGCGTAGGCCAACCTCTCTGCGTTCATGAAATCCAGCTGATATTGCGTAGGCTAACCTCTATGAGTTCATAAAGTCCAGGGCCCGCTCCTCATGTTGCCGAGAGAGCTAGGATAATTCCGATAGAAGCTGAGGATACCGCGCTAGGTGCGCGCAATACCCGAGAGCAAGGATCGAAATATTATATCTCAAATTACGCAGATTAGATCACCTTAAGCCTGAGCAATTTAGCGACAGAGGCTATTAACACGCGTTATCGGGATATAAAGCCCGAAAACCTGGTCGCTGCTTTGGCCCGGCTTTCGGACGCGTTATGTGGGCCTATTTTGGTTTAAAGGTTTACAGAGGAAAAAGAAACAATCTTCCAGAGGAGTGGAGCGGTTTGCTTTAAAATTGGAATCGAAGCCCTCTTTTTCGAGGATCCTTTGTGGTTTAGCCCTTAAAAGGGCGCCATAAAAGAGCACCCAAGTAGCAAGATTCAGATCAATAACGAGACGAAACTGGCCGACTTCGGCCTAGCTCGAGAGATTCGAGCGCATGGCCCTTAGATTGCTCGAAGTCGCATTGGCATGGCCTGCTATGGAATGAACGTATTAGGATGTTTTTTGGGAGGGTAGAAAAACCCGTTTATTTAGACAATCTATAGTCATTTTGGTTGAAATAGTGCGTCCGTTTTGCGAGGGTTTGGCGATGTGAGAAGCTTTGAGCCGCGGCCGATTGTTGTGACTAGCGGCGTTTTTCCTAATGTTTTGAGCGAAACTAGTTCGGTTTTGCTTGCACCTAGGATATTGTCTGGTCGATCGTGTTTTTGTATGTGTTTGCATTAATTGTATATATGGATGGATTTTTTGAGGCCAATAGCCCACGGGTCCATTCTTACACACTGGTATTGGGCGTCTAAGGCACACTAGCCATAAGCAATCAAAATATACATTCCTTAAGATAGAATAGGCCAGGGATATGGGACCTTTTTTTTTCCATGGCCTAATGCTTTGTATTTTTGTGTATTAGTCGTAAGATATAGTGATTTCATATTCTTATAGGGCCTAATTTCCCGAAATCTTCCAGATATTTTTGGAAAATCATAATTATCTATCATTTTGTTAAAATATTCGAAATTGCCTTTCGCTAAGCACTTGCTCGGTTTGTTTGCCTATATTTTTCTTTATGAATATAATCGTGAATTGTTTATTT